TCACGAATGATGCATTTTTGTATTCTGATTTTTTTTTTTTTTTTCTCCATTCCTATTCCAATGCGGCTTGGTTGCTCTCACAAGCTCCAAGACTCGATTTTTAAGTTCCTAAAGGGGTTGGGTTCGGTCTCAAGTAAGCAAGTGTATGGGTTTAAAGCCTTTATTAGCTCCGTCAACTTATCTAAGAGGCGGGGCCTCCAAATTTAACGTCCATCTCCGATAGGACCGAGTCAAATCTGTCAAAAGCCTTGAAAACTCAACAAAATCACAGCTGAGCTCAAGAACACCCAGTGTGGGATTCAAATCAGGGTCATCCGTTCCGTAAGTTTTTTATTAAACAGTCAAACGGGATCAAAACTGGATTGTGAGGTGCCCATGGCCGCTCTGTAAGCAATTATTGATGGCATTATCACCAAAACGCCCCTTCAAAACAAGTAAAACACAAATTCGAGAGAAATTATGCTTGATCATCGGGACACCAGTATCTATGCTCAAACTAGAACAGGTCAGATGAGCACTGTTGCATCAACAATATCTTAAATATGAACTGTTTTCAATGTTTTAAAAAAATGGACATACGACAAGAAAGCACTGAGGTCAGGGTATGTCCATCACACGACACTCACCATTTGCCAATGATCTTGCTACGGTAGCCGTTCTTTTGGAGAAGTTCAGGCAAGAGGATCTCGTAGTCTGGGATACCCCCGACAATATCCTGAGGTGTGTAAGCTAAATAAAGATAAGAAATGTGAATCAAACAAACGAGGGAGTCTTTTATATCAATGAAACATTGAGGTGTGTATGCTAAATGAAGATTAGTAACTTGTACCAAACACATTTTTATTTTATTTTATCATATCTTATCTTATCTGTATACAAATACACTTCTAAAAAAAGTTAATGTGACAATAGTCCAGGCACATACCATTGCGTCCACGTTCGTTTGTGCTGTAAAATCCATTACGAATAGGAAGTCGTCCGCTCAACAATGCAGCTCTTGCTGTGGACATCAAGAAAAATAATTTCAAAATCTATAGCAACACAATAAACTACAATCTATCACGCAATATAGCGAACAGATTCCTGGGTCCCAAATCTTTTTGCTTGTCATGAATATTCTTTATATATTTAAAACTCGTACATTATGAAATGATATCTGCACCCTACTGATCTCATTATGCCAGCCCAAGACTACTGTACGTCGCTGTAATTTGAAGCAGCAAAATTAAAATGATGTAAAAAAAAAAAAACATTTGCAAAAAAAAACCCCTATTAATGTTAATACTGTTACAAGACCCCTCCCCCCCAATCAACTCAGATTAGATCATTTAGGATGCAGGTTTCTGACCCTGCCCGGCAAGGCCAACCCAGGCTGAAAGGGGTGCAACATTCCAGCAGAAAGACCAAAATATTCAATAAATAGTTTCTCCCCATTAGAAAATTGCAATAGAACTTCGGTCTCCAGCATGCGACATCAAAGCGTCAAACCCGTACACCGCAAACCGCAGTCTTACAAAGTTTCGACTGTATTTTACTTCTCTAATACTGGGGGCTCCAGTAGCTAAGTGAGTAGTCAGATCTGACTCAAATGTAAAGTCACGCAAGTGTCGGTGACTCAGGGTCTATATGAGTGGTCAGTGGGGTCTGTCCTTGAGTAAGACACAACAACCCTTAGGCTACTCAAAAAATAGGGTGCAGCACAGTGACGACCAGAAATGGCATGTTTTAAAAATTGTTTTGTATTGGTGTAATAATGTAGATTCATGCGTGTATTTATGTATGTATTTCTAATTGAGTATGTATGTTGGACATTGTAACTTAAATTTACCCAGAGGGATCAATAAAATGTGATTTATTTCTTATATATTTACTGCTACTCACATGGAGAACAAAGCGGGTTGGCGGAGTAGAAATCAGGGAACAGCATTCCTTCTGCGGCCATTTTGTCCACATTTGGCGTCTCTTTGCTGGGTTCCCCATTCACTCCAAGATCGCCCCAGCCCATCTGGAAAGAGAACGACCTCATGGATTTATGGGAAGTTCGTTGCCACCTCATTCATTTTCCACAAACATTCGTGGGACCTGTACATTTTAATTAAGTAGCAGACATGTGAGTACTTTTAGAGCCAGGTCACCATACAGTACCAGACCTTGTTGTGAGTAGAAGCTATGGCTTGACCACAATATGTTCAACACACCGGGTGACCTTGATACACAACTTCAAGTTGACCACTGATGATCAATTAAAAAATAAAATGACTAAGTTGACATAATATTGTATTAACTCTTCAAGGGGGTATCGGACACATAATAATATATGTCCGACAAACAGCAAACGTAAGACAATGCTGTGGCATAACTCCTTGTCTCCAAACACAATTCAGAAAAACTAGCTTGCGTATATGGTATGCATGTTATTGTCTCCTATTTAAAGGTTCGGATAGAAAAAAACAGAATGCAATCATCTGTTTAAATTTTAAAAATGCTTCTCTTTTAACTTAAAGCATGTCTCAAGCATTATAGAAATCAGAATGCGCTTCGTCAAAGTGTTAAATCAGGTTCTCCGCAAGCTTCTTTGCTTTTTTTTGATATGCTGATTCCAAAAGAAATTATTTTTAAGCTGCTATAATTACTTTTAAATTCTGCGTTGACTAGTCAGTATCCTAATCCAAGGCCACGAACCGTGCCTCAAATAAAAAGTAAGTTATGGCAAGCTGTTGAAACCATGAAAGCTACAGTATGATACCATTTTTAATTAAAGCCATTAATATAGGGAAGTAAATGCCAGGCCTGGCTGTGTTTTCTGCACTTCACCCAGAGGATGATTCATGTATCCAGCTGAACAGCTCAAGAGCCTGTCCGTTTATTAGTGTTTTGATGTGTACAACCTGCAGCTTGCACTGTATGCTTCTAAGGAAACCTAGCATAGGCCCCTATATTAATGAGTGTTTGTTCAAGGGTCTGCCAGGGTAATTAAAATGCTTGTAGAGCATGCAAAGAGCACACTGTATAGGATGGATATGTGCTATATAAACGTAATATTATGAATATTAAGTCTATAATTATTATTATGATGATTTACTATATTGGTATTATTATTTTAATTAGAAGTAACATATCAGCAGCATTTGGAAGCTATAAAAAAGATCATTCATTTCCTGGTCTGCTGACCCCCCTCCCCCTGCTGCTCTACTTAAAAAAACATTTTAGTCCTATCCATACGCCCTCGGGTCATTTTGTACCCCGGGTTGTATTCTTCACATTTTAGAATACTTACTTCTAGTAGATCTACGAAGATCTCTTGGAAACTTTCAGTATTTCTCAAGAAATCATTTTGACAGACTGCTATGCAAAGCGTACGGATCAATCTTGAGTAAATTTTCTCTTTGGAAAGTGGTGGTACAGAGTTCCCCACGTCATATATGGAAACGATAGTAGTAAAACACGACGTACGGATAGGGTTAATACCTTTACCTTCATTAGCAAATCAAACTAAATCAAAATTAGAAGTTTAGAAGTAACAAATCAGCTGCATTAGGAAACTATCACTGAATCACTTGTAGTAACATGATGGGCATAGATATAAAAGCTATCATTCTAAAATTGTTTACCTTTATCTGAAACCAAATCTAGATCTAGATTCTAGCTGGAAGTTTACATGATCACGAAGCTGCATTTTGAACTATCATAAAAAGTTGCTAGAAACTTTTATTATATATATATAATAATAAATAGCAGGCTTAATCATACAAAGCTGCATTTGGAAACTTTCATTTATAAGTATGATAATGCCTTTAGTCCTATGTTTATCAGCAAACCAAACTTAAGGAGAAGTGACATATCTGCAGCTACATTTTGAAGCTATCATAAAAAGTTTTTAAAAGGTGTATAGATCTAGATTCTAGATCTACATGTTTTTAAAATATTCATTTCCTGCCCCGCCCCCTCCTTCATTTGATGAGGAGCAGAGTCAACAGGTTCCAGAGCTATTTTAGTTAGATTTTAAAACAATTAGTTGGCCTGTCTAGATCTAGTTTGGAACAGAAAAGGAATCCTGCCAGGGTCGATGATAACATTTCTTGCGTACTACTTACGTCGTCCATGAGCATAACGATGAAGTTGGGTTTTCCTGCTGACTTGGGCGACTGCTGGGTGCTAGATCTAGCGATGTCGGAGCGAGCGGCGAGAGGGAAATAGCTCAAGGCACAAAACAGCAAGGCAAACCTTACAGAAAACATGGTGATCCTCGCCTGATTGTGCACCTAATTTTAGACAAATAAAGTATTCAAAACGTGCAGTCCTCAGACTAAAAAGAGAACCGTGCAAAGCTACGCATTCAGATTTCCTTCTTGTCGGAATCGTCTCTGCTTCCTTTCAGTTTCAGCATCAACTGTAAAGCGGTATGCGGTCATGTGACAGTTAGATCACGTGACTTTTTCAAAAAGAAGTCATACTAAAGTCCAGATGATAAAGTCCCGACAGTTTCACGTTACCAAATTATAAACTAAACACACCACCAAGAAGAAAAGAAATAAGCAGGGTAGGTAGAAGTAAAAATTTATAGGCTATTTTGTTTACTAAGAATATGTTTTTCAAGAGCGATTTGGACCAAGCCTCCTCTGCAGTTTCAGAATGCAACGAAGCCTATTATAGTAGGTTAAAAAAAAAAGATAAATAAATACATATTATAAAATTAAATTACTCTTTTTAAAAGTTTCTCACGTCTCCAAGAAATCTCTTTCTGAGGTTGGCCTGTATATTTTTTCACTAAAAGTAAGACAAATATAGGAAACATTACATTAAGCCCTAATAAATTATATAGACCTACTAAAATCTCATCTGTATCCCCCCCCCCCCCCCCCCCCCCCCCCCCCCAATTTGAGCGCTTGATTTCATGGTATCGTGGTATTATATATATAAATGTTATATATATATATATATATATATATATATATATATATATATATATATATATATATATATATATATATATATATATATAAATATATATACATGTATAATGCAGTTATAATAATTTCATGCTCAAAACCCTAGATGTCAATTCAAGTCTCCCAAAATCACTGCTTTTGCCTCTACTTAATTGTTTTATCAGCGACAAGCCCACTAGAAGACACCCACATAAGCCACTCGCTGATAAAAACAATTAGGAATAGGAACTAAAGACAGTTTCTGGGACACTTGGAAAGACATATTGGCCCCTATTAATATTATTGTAAAGGCATTGAACTAACACTCTAGCTCTCATGCACTGATAAAGTTGAAAGCAATCGAAGGCAGGGGTGGATCCAGAGTAATAAAATATTCTTACTTGGAGAGCTTAAACATTATAGATCTGCATTAGGCCTACATATTATTATGATGATTAAATTAAAGAGATAGGATATTATGCCTGATAATAACTTTAATTAAGTATAACATGTTACTTGCCTCATTTATCATCAGCCATAGCAGTTCAGACGTACTAAGACCCAGAATTTGAGGGGGGGGGGGGTTAAAGAAGGAAAAGTGCATTAAATGCAGTTTCTTAGTGTAAAATCGCGGTTGCATGTTTTAAAGAAATATTTTGTTGAATTCAAATTCTAAATTATAGGGGCCTATTGAAAAAGCATCATAAAATAATAATAATGATGATGATGATAATAGATCCTAATAATAGTAATAATAATAATAAAAATAATAACAATAATAATAATAATAATAAAATTAATTAGGCCTATTATAATTATTATTAGCCTACTTAAATTATTATTATTAGGCCTATTATTACAATAGTAGCCTACATGTAATTATAATATTGGTGCACATTTTTAAATGAAAGTTTCTTTTCCTCCAATCTTTCTGGAATTATTTAGAATAGTTGATCAGCTTGCCTACGACAGATAATCAGGATATAAAATCATTACTATGTAGATATTAGTAATAATGATTAGAGAGATATTACCACTTGTATACGGATGCCAATATTATTTTGTTTTATTTAATGTACTCCAAGTCCAAGTGAGCTAACTTGAACCGTACAAGGAAAGAGAAAGAGGGGAAGGCAGAGAAGGAGATGGGAGGACAACATCGCAGAGTGGACAGGGAAGACGATGGGTGACAATCTGAGGAAAGCAGGGGACAAAGAGAAATTGTGAGAGCTGGTTTTCAGATGCAGTGGTGCCCCCACGGTTGCCCCAACCATGGGATAGAAGAAGAAGAAGAAGTGAGCTAAGGCATACTTACAAAATGAGTAGCATCTCTCCTTTTGTCTGTTTTAGTAGGGGGGTTACAGCGCTCGCAACTGCATAAGGTCATATGAGCGCCAGGAGTGGATGTCAGAAGAGAAGTCTTTACAGGGAATCAGCCATAGATCTACTCAACAGCACAAAGTCTGCTTCGACTTCGGACTATCAAGGCACCTCGGAAATAGCGGGCCACAAGAGTGTGACAAACATACAAAACAAGTAGAGGAAAATGACGATAGTAAGGATTAGGAAAGAAAAAGCAGCAGTTCCCTGTTGTAGTTCAAGCACAGTTATGAGCATGATATTGTTGGATCAGCCCATTTAATATTCGAGTGTGCATTAGAACGAGAAATGTCTCCCCTTTGAGAATGGCCTAAAGACACTTCAGTCAGTGGCACTGCCCCGGGGGGCAGCATCTCCCCACTTTTTTTTACAGGTGGGCATTTTAGACAGAGTCATTAAAAATGTATATATTATTATTTTAGACAGAGTCATTAAAAATGTATACATTATATTTTTTTTTTCATAAGAGAAACATAAAGCACACTAGACACAACGAGTAAGATATTATACACTTTTATTGTCAGTTTCATTTGTCATATATCACAAAGTCAGGCATAGAAGAAAAGTTCTAAAGTACACATTAATTGTGCGCATTCTATAAAGCATAAACACACAAGAACATGAATAAATTAATACTTGTATACTTTATGGGACGTTTTCACTTTCACTCAATTACACATGCAAACACACACTTACACACACGGAGACACACACTCACACAAACACACACACACACACGCGTGCGCGCAAACACACACACATGCAAACAAACAAACACACACACACACACTCACAAACACACATATGCAAACAAACACACACACACACTGACTAACACATGCAAACAAACTCACAAACACACGCACACTTACACACATACACACACATACACACACACACACACACACACACACAAACACACACACACACACACACACACACCTATAAACAGAATCAAGTAATTAATGATAGTCACTGTGCTATCCTTTTTAAACAAATTATACTGTTGTGCATTTTACAGTAGTTTTAGTTTTTAGTAAGAGTTTTACAGCACTTACATGACAATAAGATCACATTAATGACGACAAAAATTAGAGGTGATTAAAAAGAGTAACAAATTATAAATGAAAAAAAGCAAGAGGAATCAGGATGGTATAGAAGTTTGACAGGAAAGAAAGGAGAAAACTACACAAAAGCACCCACCAACCACCCATGCAATGTATTTGAATTACACACAAAATAAAGTTTCCATATATTCGCCATCGTGATAAGATCGGATACGTGACATCAGGTACATATTTTAGGAGAAGGAAAAAAAACGTATTAAAAGGCCGAACTAAAGTTATCTGATTTTCCAAACGTCCTTTTATGTGTACATACTTATTAGTGCACCCAATCCCCCATACACTTTGTACACACACATTAGTGCACCCCCGCCCCCATAACACACATTTGTACACACACATTAGTGCACCCCGCCCCCCATAACACACATTTGTACACACACATTAGTGCACCCAATCCCCCATAACACACATTTGTACACACACATTAGTGCACCCAATCCCCCATAACACACATTTGTACACACACATTAGTGCACCCCTG